TTAAGGCGTGTCTCTAAGGGGTCGAAAGCCAGATGCCTCTATGGAGACTCAAAAAATTAAAAATACTTTTTTTCATTTAATACCCAAAACCGATACTACTAAAGTCGAAGATATCACATATAAATTTTGACCGAATTTTAATTGTTTGAGTCTCCATAGAGGAATCTGAACTTTGCCCCTGTGCGACACGCCTTAACCGTCTCCAACCGGGTCCAAAATTTTGTATGTGACATCTTCGACGATAGTAGCATCGACGTAGGGGTTGAGGCATAGAAAATCTGATGTAAAAATTTGCTTCCTACATGTAAGGACCACCATAATATACATACATTGAGTTAAAATCGCACAGGACTACATACATAATACACACTTTCAATATAAACTCAAGTACTTGGTAAAAAGTTTTGCACGCATATAATTTATACGGTCATAATAAAAATGAAACGAGTTCCAGAACTACATAAGCCAAATTTATATGGGACGAAATATAATATTACACCTTTCCAATAAAAAAGCATCATTGCAATCGGTTCACGTAGTCAAAAGTTATCAGGGAACATATCGATGGCTGAGTGGAACATCGACCTATCTCGGCAGCCAGTTCGAAAACGCTCTATCTCAAAAAACTTTTCAAGAACGCCCTATTTCAGAATTCGTTTCAAAAACGCCCTATCTCAGCTGCCAATTCAAAAACGCCCTATATCAGCATATTTTCAATACATTTTGAAGTGATATAAGGCGATTTGGAACGGAATTTTGAGATAGGGTGTTTTTCAATTAAATTCTGAAATAGGGCGTTCTTGAGAAGTTTTTTGAGATAGAGCGTTTTCGAACTGACTTCAAAGACTTTTATTTTAAGACTTATATTATAAAAGTCTTTTCATAGAAAGTTATGAGCGCGAAAAAAATGTTTAAGTCTTAAAAGACGGGACTTGTTCAGGAGCATTTCAGGTTTAGTTGGGGGCCAGTTCGGGGCTAGTTTGGGACCCCTTTCGGACTATATACAAAATTTTTTCGCACTCATAATTATTAGCAAAAGACTTTTATTATAAACATAAGTCTCAAAATAAAAGTCTTTGAAGACTTAACCCGCATCCATCATTTGTATCAAATTGATGCAAATTTCGAAAAAATATTAAAATATTAAGAAAAATAGTTAATGTTTTGAATTGGTTTTTTGTGACACATCTTAGATCTTTCAAGCATTTTTACTCTTATTATCAGAAAATGAATAAACGTTGGTCCATAAAAAAAAATGAAACAAAAAATTTCAAAAAATTACCCCATCCTCTAAGAATTTATTATAGAGACAATCTTAAAATTTTTATGAGCCATATTTTGAATATACATAAATATAAACTAGCAAATGTTCTGACGGCTGATGAGTACTTTTATTTTAGGGTATTACAACCATACGTACGTATGTAAAAACACATCACTACTGTAGATATTATACCGGGAAAAATAATCGTTTCAACATTTCCTTATCTCGTCATCTGATTAGAATTTGATACATCCCAGTCGGAAAAGCTTATTGTGTGCCAATTAAGAAAAATTTCTTTTTCAAAAGCTATGGTCAATGGCTTTTTTCAGATGTGGTAATATTTCGCAGTATTTTGTCCATTTTCATTGCGTTTTCGATACTTTTGCAATGCGTTGTTGTATTGCTATGCAATAATGCGATAAACCTTAGGTTATAAAGGTAATTGATTACACATTTTCCTACTGGGATCGCTTGGCGTGAGTGGCATTAGTGAATCAAGCTCTATCGTTTTTTAAAGAAATTCAAAGACAACCCAATGAGACAAGTTCAACTGAAGGTTGAACAGAGATAAGAAAACTTAGCCCACGCTGACACTCATATCCAAGGACCATGTGCATTAGGGTGGTAAAAAAAAAAAAATTCCAGCCACCTTCCACAGCTGAAGAATATCAAAAATAAGGAGACCCATATCTTTTTTTGTTATATTGAAATCGATTAACATTTTGTCGTGCCGTGCCGCCGGAGCTTTCAAGTTTTCCATATATTTCATATGGGAAAAAACAAATTTTTTCGTAGAAATACTATAAAATCGTTAAAGATCAAATCAAAATATTACCCTTCAGAAATCTTCACCAATAAAATTATAATGCATATTTAAATTTCAAAATTTACTATCTACTACGGGGAAATTTCAAAAAATTTATTTTCCTGTGTATTTTTGAAAGAACTCAATGTACGCATACGAATTACAAGTATACGCACGTAGTCCATTCCATTCGCCGACAACTGCTTTGGTCACGCCGACACATATTTTTTTGGTCAGTTCGTAGTGGAGCCAATTCAAATGCAAATTAAGTTCAACAAATTCGCGTCGTGTTAAGGATGGTGCAAATTGGTAGATAGTTGAAAAGCTGATGCCAATAAATCAGCTGCAAGGCACCTGACGTATGCACATACATACATACATACAGTATCGGTCATATCTATAGCACGCCATTTCAAAGTGATATTGTGTGCCACTTATGTTTATTTATTAGTTTTTAAGAATTTTCAATTAAAATGTAGTTCATTCTCAGACAAACCCGATACAAACCCAAGCTTAATAATTTGTAGAAAGCTACAAAAAAGTGCAACAAATTTTCACATAAATTTCAAACTTTTTTCTCGGAAGTGCTAGAATTTTTTTGAGTACACAGTTTTTTAGCCCCTTCAATTTTAGTCTGATAATGTGCAAATTTCAAGTGCCTACGAATTACCGTTAATTTTTTAGAATTTTTTTTTTAGCATTGGCTTCCATATAATGAATAAACAAAATTTATTTGTATATGGAAGAAATCCGCAACACCTTTGGCGAAAAAATCACTTTGAAATGGCGTGCTATAGATATGACCGATACTGTATGTAGTATGTAAAATACATTGTATGGAAAAGCGACTAGTTTTTTATCTTAGGTAAACGCACGTACATATGAATGAGCGTATGCACGCTGGTACATAAAACGAGTGAGTTTACATACGCAATTCGCTGGTGGGCTTAGTATTGTGCGCGATTGTGGGCTTGGCCCCCTTGAACACGCTTCCAAGGCCGTTCAGGTGCAGCAGCTACGCATACTCACTGTGCCTGCCACTGTCTACACGCATGCGTGCCACAAGTATATACAACATATGTTTATTACATAGATACATACTAGCATACGAACTTGTATATGCATATAGCCGCATAAAGACAAATGTACGCCAGCTAGCTTGCCAATTACGCGCTTTTTGCCACAGGACAGGCAACGATGGATGCCAATACACCATTTACCAAACAATTTGTTGCATTGATTGTTTTTGATTCGAAATTTGCTAAATATTAGACTCTGGCTTCATAAACGCACCGAAGACATGCAATTTGTTGCTCTGCTTGGAAAATGTGTGAAAGCGCCAATCGTCGACCACTTTTGTTGTACATATTTCAAGTGCTCGCATGTTGCTTTTGTTGGCAGTTGAGCAAATGTGTTAGATCAGTTGTCAAGACCGCAAGCCAAGCCCACCGTTGGCGCCTCTAGCTAGCTGCCCAAACCGCACGCATGAAAGCTAATTTGTTTTGCGAAAGAAAAACCTAAAAAAAAAAACAGAAACAACATAGCTCAGGACCACCAGCTGTGGACCACATACCACACGCTTGATGACAGCGAGAAAGATTACAACACGTCGCGATTTTATTGCACAGCCCAATCATTAAAGGTGACACGCTGCTTATCTAACAGAGACCACGGCATGAAAGCGTAGCCCCAGAGAGCTTTATGAGACTCGCTTAAACTTTACGAGTTTGTGACACAGCTGGGGTTTTTTACGTCCCCCTAAAACTAGTTGGTACCCAGTAAAAATTATGAGGTGTCCCTAATCTGCACCAATTTCAGATCATCTGAGACAGGGATGTTCATGAAAGCTTTTCGCGGTAGCTGGGGATGTAAAACAGTAAACAAATTAAAAATCGAAGAAATTAGCTAGGAAAACTCAAAAATTCAAAGCCCACTCATACAAAAGCTGCAAATTTTCTAACCAACTCGTACAGCAGAAACCTTTTTGAATCTGTCTTAAAGAATTGACCGGAACGGGCCTCGCTGATCTACATAGGTCTATGAAAAAGTGACTGCCAATAATTATTTTCTACGTCTCGCTCAGCTAGAAAGCTTGCTTTAATAAACCATCTAAAAGGTTAATCAGTGTTCTTGGGTGTTTGCCAGTGTCCAGTACGACAATTCCACCGGCACGGCCTACTCCCTTTCCGCCACGGCTTTCTTTTTCGTAAAGTAAGCTGTCAACAACGATATTCCATAGTATTGGTGGCAGAACTCTTACTGCAAAACTCTCAGCTAAGAGTTTTATTTCCTCTTTTGGTGAAAATAATTACAAGTTCCCAAATTACTGGAGAAATGAGGCAACTGCTTCTGACAAATGTTGTTGAAGGACCGTATCTACGTGTCCAATATGTGCTCTAGTAACTCCAATAAGAAGGACGAGACGTTTATTATTCTAAAATGGTCTTTTGTGCGAGTTCATTAGTTATCGGAACATCAAGCGAAGCCAGCTTGCATGGGCAGATAGCCGAGACCAACGCGACTTTCGAGACGATCTTGAGTAGACGGCTCATCTCCGATGTACAAGCGGATGTGATAAAAAAATCAACAAATTCCCCATGGTTTCATAAGCTCCTGGCATCAAAAGTATCCCTTTCGTGTTCATTCTACAATCTTAATTTCATTAATGGCTAGGACAAGCCTACAGTGCACATTGTAAGTTATATTAAAGCCACCCTTCCCACTTTAGCTGGCATTGAGAAATATAAATATTTAAGCCGAAAAATCCCATTTATGAAAATATATGTATGTATACTACGATTGCCAATATGTACTCTTAATTATACCAGAAAATGGTCTACGAGAAAGAACTCAGCCTCAATTGTAGCCTCAGTTACAAAAAAAAAAAAGATAACGCTTAATTCTTTAGTAAATATGTTTCATTTCGTTTACCTTTGTGACGTTAATTGCACTGGCGTCGTCACTTTCACGCGCTTTCGACTGTGGCGCCTTCGTCGACTTATTTGGCGAGCGGGGAGGCAATAGACCTCTTCTGGCCTCCGACTGCTGCGTTTGTTTATGTTTCTTTTGAGTTTTATTTGTTGAAGGAACACCGTGTTTAGCGCGGCAACGAACCGAATACGGCAGTTCAATCTGAAAGAGAGAAAACAAATTGAAAACTTTAAATCTTCCAGTTCATACATACACATACATACATATGTAAGTAAACACATACAACTGTATACGGGTAGGTACTACTCAATGCAATTTAAAGATGTATGATTTTAGTTAGAAGGTCTGTATGTTTGGAGGTACATAAAGGCAGTATGGATCATGTACCTTGAAGGGATTGCCTTTGGCGTTCTGCCATCTGCACTGTCATTTTTACACCCTATACCAAAATGAGCGGGGCGACGAGCTGAGTCGATTTATCCATACCCATCATTCTTTTTGAATTCAAACTATTTAGTTCCACAGATTTAGAGATATCCGAATGAAACCAGGTACACGGACATCTTTTTAACCATTTGTCAAAATCGACTAGATCGGGCTATTATTAAGCCCTAGTAGTGCGCATGGTAATGCAGAATCGAACCAGTCGGAAAAGGGGCGTGCATAAATCACGCAAGTAACTCCTGGTAATGCAGAGAGAGTCGATGGCGACTACCGCCTGGGACGTTGCCTTGTAAACGTAATCGCTGAAATACACGGCAAGTATTTCATCAGTCCTGTAGTCGCTCCCCCGCACTGCAGGGATATGCTCAGAGAGCGCCTAGTGAGCTATGGCCTGCCGACCACTGGTTTACATAGATCGTTATTTTCTAACTTGAACAATTACGTATTTTTTTGATGCATAAGAAGCCCATAACCAATTGATGAGTATTAATTCTGTGACCTGCGCCTAATTCGTCGGCTAGCGAATTAGTTAAAGATTTCTCTATTTGTTAAGTAGACTCAAACGATTTGATCACTATCAGTCCATTTTCTTGAAATTCCAATTAGAAAAGAATCCGATATGTCCGTAATGTAAAAAAAAAAACAAAAAATACCTATGCCATGTACATATGTATGTTTAGACTATAAAATGTTTACGAGGTCAGTCACCTTTTGTCCATTTCCATTGGAAATATCGAATTGCTCGCAATGCTGTGGTTGCAGCAATGGCCATTGTTGTTGCCTTTGGTGCATCATAACAGCAGCATACTGCTGATTATTATTGGCGTTAGAGTTGGCACTGTTGTCCTTGTTTCTGTTGTTGTTGTTGTTAACATCATTATTATTGTTATTATTATGATTTGTGTTGTTATTATGGGAATTGTTGGTGGTTACACCACCACCACCACCGCTGGTTGCACGCGCCTCCGTCATTTGTTCGGATTTGTTACAGTTGCCATCGATTTGCAATTCCATCTCCGTGCGATGCAAGCGTTGGAAATGCATTTGTGTGATTTGCGTAGTGTTGGTGGCCGACGTTGTCTCGGTGAGCAAATCGTTGGAGGAGCAGCTGCTACTTCTGGTGCTGTAGCTGCTGCTGCTGCCACTGCCGCAACTGATGACGCCGCTTTTGGCCACAAACTGCTGTGCTGCAGACGACGCTGTTGCTAGTTTTGTTGTTGTTGGTTGTGCAGCAGCAGTCAACTGAATTTCGGCGTGTGCGATTTGTGTGCCACCTTGCGACGATGACGATGAGTTGATATCTGAAACTTGAGGGACGATGAGTGCGGCCGCAGCTAGTGTTGCGGCGCGGGCTTCCTTGTTCTCCTTGTCTGAGTCGTCACTGGCGATGGCAATGGTCCTCGCGATGGTTGTCGTTACTGCTGTGCTGGATGACACGGCCGACGACTGGACTCCATCGATGACTATGCAGGTGATGCTGTTGCTGTTGCTGCTGTTGTTTTTGTCGCCGTTTGCTTCAGTGGCCCATTCGCCAGTCACCTCGTCGTTCCTTTGCGGCGGCGGTAAGACGGACGAATACAACCAGCCGCCGTCGTCATCAGATGATGCGTCAGCGGATTTCAGCAAGTGATGCTAAATGAGTTGAAAGAGCGAGATGAGCAAAGCAAAATAAATATACGTAAATACATACATATGTAGTATATATGTATGTATGTATGTTTATAAGCAAACGATGCGCCATAACCACTAAGCACACCGAAAAGATTGTGCATTCGAAAGAAAAAAGGCGATAAACAGAAAATGCAAAAGTCATAAATAAATAAAGGCGCAAACATATTTACATACCTACATACCTACATCCATAGGTACATTTGTAGTAGTATGTACAACGTGTTTGAATGTTTATAAGAGTGCAATAAATGGCATGCAAGTAACCAGCAGTTGGACCAAGTTGGACCACGAAAAGAGCAATGAAATACATGCAGAAATGCATACTCCAAACATACATACATACATACATATATACACATAATTAGCATTTCTTAGCAAATTGCACTCGGACAAAGACGTTCGTCAATCGTTAGTAGGTATTCTGGCGCGGATACTTGTCTGCGGCGAAATCTCACATTTTCATCTCAAAATGTCAGCGCTCATTTCGCATGCATGCCGTCCGTCCGTCATGATCTCCATGACAAATACTCCATTTATGAGTTATGTACGTACATATGTATGTATGTATGTATAAACAAACATTCCCTGCTACTGTGCCATTGCTTTCAAGGCATCAACGCTGGCTGCTCAAGTCCAAGTAAAACCAAGTAATTAGTCAGAAGTGATTGCAATGTTGAAATCTACAAACTCCGTTTTCGAACGTGAAAATATTCAATCGGACAGACATGATTATAATGGCTTTCACTTTCATATTTCAATGAGATATGTACATACATATGTGCATTTTTCTGCGGTCATGCTCAACAATGAAGGGGGGTTAGCGAGGAAATATGGAGTGAAATTTGATATCTTCATATGTACATAAGTAGTGCACTTACCCTGCAGTAAAACATATGTATGTATAAGTAGCTTGCATTCACACAAACATACATATGTAGTACATACATATTTATTTATGTGAAATTACTAGTTGCTTGTTCAGGGGAGGGATAATTTTGATTCGAAATCGATAAAAATTTACATAGGGCGCCGCAGTTTTTTTTTTTGCGAAATTCGATATACTTCTTCTTTTTATTCTAAATAACATACACAGCGAGCTATAGCTCTTTATATTACAAGCACCATATATGCACGTAAATCAAATTTTGCACTACATAAAATTAAAAAATCAAAACCAAGTTCTCAAACTTTTTAAAATTTAATTTAAACTTTTTAAAATAATTTTTGGTACGCAATTTTATAACGCATTTAATTTTAGTACAACAACAAGCAAGTTTAAACTTGCTAAAAGATCCCGTTGATTTTTGATAATGTTTTTTTGCTAACTCTGTTATGCATTTCTTCCATGCAAAGTATGTTTGACAACTTTTTATATGGAAGAAAATGTTCTCCTATGGCAGAAAACGCCCACAACGAAGTCATACAGCATTTGCCACCGATTTTGACATGATCATCAAAGCCAACACATTTCTGTAAATTTTCAAGTACATATGGATAACACATAACACAATCTACAAGAATAGTTTGAAGAGAAAACAGCGAAGGTAACAAAATATACAGTATCGGTCATATCTATAGCACGCCATTTCAAAGTGATATTGTGTGCCACTTATGCTTATTTATTTATTTTTAAGAATTTTCAATTAAAATACAGTTCTTTCTCTAACAAACCCCATATAAACCCAAGTTTAACAATTTGTAGAAAACTTCAAAAGAGTGCAACAAATTTTCACCTAAGTTTCAAACTTTTTTCTCGGAAGTGTTGGAATTTTTTTGAGTACACAGTTTTTTAGCCACTGCAATTTTAGTCTGATAATGTGCAAATTTCAAGTGGCTACGAATTACCGTTAATTTTTTAGAATTTTTTTTGTCGCATTGGCGTTCATATAATGAATCAACTCAACCGCAACACCTTCGGCGAAAAAAATTCTAAAAAATCAACGGTAACTTTCAGTCACTTGAAACTTGCACATTATCAGACTAAAATTGATGGGCTATAAAACTGTGTATTCAGAAAAATTTTAATACTTCCGAGAAAAAAGTTTGAAACTTAGGTGAAAATTTGTTGCACTCTTTTGAAGTTTTCTACAAATTGTTAAACTTGGGTTTATATGGGGTTTGTTAGAGAAAGAACTGTATTTTCATTGAAAATTCTTAAAAATAAATAAATAAGCATAAGTGGCACACAATATCACTTTGAAATGGCGTGCTATAGATATGACCGATACTGTATTATAAAAACAAACTGCAGGTTCGATTAACTTTGCGGACGTTACTCTCTTTGCCGGTGAGAAAATACATTTTTTGGACTGATATTGTTGTATTTTATTAAAAGGTATTATGCAAAGGCTATTCAGAGCTTTGTTTCAAGAAGTAAATAATGCCCCTTGCAAATCACATTTTTTTAAATAACTGTGGAAACAAATATGAAATTAATTGGAGCTAGGTCCTATGAATTGATTTACGTCCTCATTTTTTTTTTGTTTTAGTTGATCGCACTTTAAATCTTGGTGTGCGATACGTATATTGTACTATGCTGTTGTCGACACATGCGAGAATTTTAATTGCATGCATTTTTCCGTTTTTGGGTTTACTGTTTCTCAGATTTTCCCATATCCGTTTAATATCCATTCATTTTGTTATCCGGATATCCGGTTAATAGCCGGATATTCACATTTATAAATCAGATATTCGAATATCCGGATTATCCAGATACTAAAAAAATTCTGATAGAACTCCCAGCGCTAGTTGCAACCCACCAACATTAATATCATGGTACGCCAAAGGATAGTTCCTCTAACAAACCTGGAATAAATCGGGAGGCCTGCAGCGCAGAAACCGAGCGACCTATACCGCCCCCCCTGGTCACCTTACCGATCAGGCATGAGCACGAAGACTTCGTGGGGCTGTGTGTCCTCTTGCACCACGGTCGAAATTAATAGTTTTGGATTTCGAAATCGAGTCCCACACGACTATTAACATTTTTGACACATGCAATGTTAAATATTTTAACTTTTCACACTCACCATTGCTAAAAAAAAAAAAAAATGCCGGCTAGTCAACATGCATGCATGCTTGTGAATTGTATATTAAACCGCGAACTCGACAGATATAAAAGCCCTCATTGTTTATGGCTATCATACGAGTAAATAATGCAATCACTTCAAGAATTATTTTGTAATGAATTCATCCTCAATTAATCTACATGAGAGTTTAAGGCCAATAGCTTGGTGACATGCGCTTAATTGTAATAAAATAACAAATGCATCGCACTCCAAATATACAGATGCAACAATACACACATACATACATACACACATATATACAATATAAAAATAATAAATGCAAAATACTTAGACACACTAATTTATATGTACATAAGTACCTATAAAGTCAAGTCTGAAGAAGTTCAACAAATACTATATATGTATGTATGTATATCTTAACGGTGACATATGTACATTACTTGAAAATTAGCACAGCATTTATGGTGCATAAATATGTAGTAAGTACAGTGGCACAGAATGAAAGCGTTAGTATACCCTTCAGCACCGAACACCAACTCTCCACCACACCACTTCAACACACTTTGTGCACATTGCCGCCCGGAATCAGTATGACTCAATACCATTACCATTACCATAACTACATACTCGTTGTTCCTGATGGTACTTACTTCGCTTGTCTGTGAAGTCGAAGACGACAAGTCCCGACTGTCGGGCTGGCCCCCACTTGCATCGGCATCGGCGGCGTCGCCAAAGCTGCTACAGTTCGTCTCGTTGTCGGTGTCCAGGTGTTTGAAGTAGAAAACGGCACAATTTTTCGACTTACGATTAGATCGATTAAACTTGGAGATGTCGGTGTGGTGTTGCTGCTGCCGTTTGCGCAACACGGTCGGCGATTTATTGTTGTGACTGTTGTTGGGTGAAATGACGGCGATGCTCTTTTGCTTGATCGGTGCGCCGCCAACCTGTTTGTTATTGTGCAAGGTTTGCAGTTTCTGCTGGGTCTGCGTTGCCGTCGAGATGGTGTTGATGCTAGCGTTGGAAATTGTTGTGACATTGGCGGCTACAGTGGACGACGCGCTCATCGGGACTAGCATTTGTTGCTCGTCGCCATCTGTGTGCGAGTTATTCATTTTCGTTTTCATCGACATCGATGATGCAGTGGCGGACGCGATCTCCCGCTGGTCATACACGTCTAACACGCCGTCGACGGCATCTTGAGCCTGGTGGCAACGGCTGACTGGGGCAGTCGCAGAGGTGTTAATGTCTGACTGTGTTAGGGTAATGTCGTTGTTGGCACTCTCCTCGCCCATCAGCGGTGTGACGAATGACTTTGAATTCATTGAAATCGCTTCATTTTCTGTTCGCTTCTTAGAGCATACTGTGGCGTTGTATGGCTTGCGTTGAGTGGACACCTGGTGTTGCGTTGTTTCCCAGTCACTGTTTTCCGAATCGGCCTCGAAGTCGGTGAGAGTGGTTGCGCGTGCTGCGTCGCCAAAGCTTCCTCTTTTGTCGAACGTTACCAAGACGGTGCTGAAGTTACCTCGTACTGGCCAGCTAAGCCTGGAACGACCGAACTGAATATCGTCTTCGTCCTCCTCTCCTTCGTCGTCGCCGTCTGCGCAGTCGCCCTATATAGTAATTTCGATTGTTTTAAGATCAATATCTACGAACTATTTTGGAAAAGAATTGAAATTCGTAGGATGGTTCTAAAATCAAATCAAATTTCTGTCGGTTCCAAGAAAATTGGTGTCGGTTGCGTTCAGGATAGAACATACAACGGCGAAATTAAAAGTAAAAATAAGAACAAATTTAACAGACAGCAAAACAGAGATGCAACACTCAGTACCGGGTACATGCGTCTCTTTCGGTTGCTTGCATTAATTAGAGAAGCCGGCTGCAGGAAAATGCAGTGAAACAAAAGCCAATTTTTATCTACATATAGATGCCTGAGTGGAAGATCGACCTACATATCTCACAAAACTTTCCAAGGACGCCCTACTTCAGAATTTGATTGAAGAACGCCCTATCTCAGAATTTGGTTGAAGAACGCCCTATCTTAGCTGCCTATTCCAAAGCGCCCTTTCACAGCACACTTTCAATGTATTTTCAGCTGAGATAGGGCGTTTTTGAACCGAATTCTGAGACAGGGTGTTCTTCAACCGAATTCTGAAGTAGGGTGTTCTTGAAAAGTTTTCTGAGGTATGGCGTTTTTGAACTGCCTGCCGAGATAGGTCGATCTTCCACTCAGGTGTCGATATGTAAATAGATTTTTAATTTAAAATCGCGAGAAATTACCAAAGTATCAAGTAAGCAGATAGGCGTATGCCCTTAAATGCAAAAAAAAATTATCTTCTTATGATCGTATCGCATTACAACCAGTTACTGTACTTTCAATGTTCAGCGTAGCGTAGAGGTTAATCGAATGTGCAGACGAACGGCTGGAACGCACAAGAAGTTCTGAATTACGAGCTTCGTGAGTGAACAATAACCAAAGCATAAACATAAACAGATTTGAAAACACTTCATGCACATAATGCTTAGAAAACGTGGCAATAAAAAAGTTAAACACCAAATGTTATATATGTACGACAGTTCAATTAGTTTATACAAGTAGTTGTATTATTTATTACCTTGGTGGCGTCACAATCGCGACCTTCTTCCAAATCGGGGCAATTTTGTAGTTCACAAACTGATGAAGAGTTATGTGTAATATCGCTCTCGATTCCGGAACCAAGAATATTCAAATCGTCTTCTGTTGCAGCGGCTTCTTCCTCATCATCTGAAGAGTTGCATTCTGCTATGTCATCACCACCATCATCATAATCGGCAGCATCAGCAATGCTCTGGAATCGGAAAGACAAAAGAAAATTGTATTTAAATTGATTAAATAAAAATTACAAACAGTTTTATTACTTTTCTTTATTGATAGAAAGACTATGCGTTATCAATGTTGGTACACTGTGGAAAAAAAGTTCACATATTTATGTAGGAAGAAAAACTGGGGTAAGTTCAAAGACAACCAGCCCATGGTCGAAAGATCATGGGTAAGATAGAACTTCAATCTACACACACACACATATTTTATTCTTGCCCGGTGGAATGAACCGATTAGAATAACACAGTATAGTAATATTATGGGGCGCAAAAGGATAACCTATAACCGTGAAAGCATAGAATATACAACAGAGGCCTTAAAGCTCCATAAGGTAGTGGCGAAAGCCAACAGCAAGGAGCGATGGAAGCTACTGAATTAGCAAAAAATCAAACTTCTTTTAGACACTCACGTCCTAAGATTTAGGATAGATCTTCTGTAATTATTACACATCGGCTAAGCTGTACAAAACCAAATGTAAACTTCCATCACTCGCTCTGCAAGTCATACTGTTTCAAACCGATCCAGTCCCCGTTAAAGTAATGCCGTTATAGAACAGAGTGATAACCCCGTTCTTGTGCAGCTATTATCGTTCCATAAGTTTAGTTGGGGCAGGGACGTAAGATTGCATTTGGTTTTAAATTTTAAGATGCTTAATTTGGTTTTCATGGCTATTCAGGTGCAGCTTAGTTGGTGTGCTATACGTTGTCATAAAACGCACTATATATTCGGTGACAAAACAAATTAGAAAAATATTTAGAGTAAATTGGATATTGGCTAAGGAACCTCGACTGAGTTGATTGGCGGTGATAGCATTGGAGCAGGACATAGAGATCGCCATTGGACCGTTATTAAAAACTGTCTGAAGCAGCATGAAATGGGGAAGATAAAGATTGTTTTCAACCCTTAAGGTCGGGCCACTGAAACTCCTCTTTATAATCTGACATGAGTAGTGATTAATAGGGGACCAAGCGAAACCCGCACGGCTTTAGTAATTCTTTTAGCTTTGGGATATACAGTATCGGTCATATCTATAGCACGCCATTTCAAAGTGATATTGTGTGCCACTTACGTTTATTTATTTCTTTTTAAGAATTTTCAATTAAAATACAGTTCATTCTCAGACAAACCCCATATAAACCCAAGTGTAACAATTTGTAGAAAACTACAAAAAAGTGCAACAAATTTTCACCTAAATTTCAAACTTTTTTCTCGGAAGTGTTACAATTTTTTTGAGTACACAGTTTTTTAGCCCCTTCAATTTTAGTCTGATAATGTGCAAGTTTCAAGTTGCTAAAAGTTACCGTTGATTTTTTAGAATTTTTTTCGCCAAAGGTGTTGCGGATTTCTTCCATATACAAATAAATTGAGTTTATTCATTATATGGAAGCCAATGCGACAAAAAAAACTAAAAATTCTAAAAAATAAACGGTAATTCGTAGCCGCTTCAAGTTTGCACATTATCAGACTAAAATTGAAGGGGCTAAAAAACTGTGTACTCAAAAAAATTCTAACACTTCCGAGAAAAAAGTTTGAAATTTATGTGAAAATTTGTTGCACTTTTTTGTAGCTTTCTACAAATTATTAAGCTTGGGTTTGTATCGGGTTTGTCTGAGAATGAACTATATTTTAATTGAAAATTCTTAAAAATTAATAAATAAACATAAGTGACACACAATATCACTTTGAAATGGCGTGCTATAGATATAACCGATACTGTATAATATAAATGATATAAAAATTACAAGATGATCCCCACTTCCAACAGGGGGGTCCGGATAGGGTGGGACATATCGAGCGACAGTTTTTTTTTTCAAAATTTTATTTTTTATGCAGAAATGCATCTAGATGCTATAGGAGTATTTCTGCATCAAGATGGCCACAAACACCAACCGGGACAAATTCATACCAACAAATAAACCCAGCGGACGCATATGTAGGTCATATAAAAAAGCAGTACCCCTATCAGAAGAGAACTTAACGTCTTGAGTGTAAGTTTTCTGCACAAACTTACTTCAACTTATTTGAACCTCAAATACTAGACGGGATATATTTTAGCTAATTCCAATACGTTGTTTCTATTTTAGTGAATTTTTGCCGGGACGTATATATCCGAAAGGGCTAAGGTCGCAGACTTTAGTTAAATAAGTTCGAAAGTAGTCTAAACAGGCGTCTCGCCGTGGGCTGTCTCGAGTATTTGCACGGATTGTTGTACATTTTCATACATACATATGTATGTATGTGAACATTAGATAGTAATACAAAAAAGCTCACATTGCTAAAAACGACACCCTGTAATCAAAAGCAAATATTGTTAAAATAAACTCAAAAACTTTTGTTTGCGATAGAGAACATCCTGGCCATATGGTATGTATGTATGTATGTCGATCTTTACAATGGTATCTATGTATGTATGTATGTAATTTGTACAGAACGGATTCGAGTATCAATCAATCTGGCATTACGTGACGCTCGTATGACAAAACTGTAAAAAAAAAATGAGAAAGTCAAAATTTTAAAAAGGTTTATCTAGATTTGCATAGCAATTAAATCGCCCTCACTTCAGTAAAAAAAAAATTACAATTAAAGATTTGACAGAAATGGACTTTGACTTCGATTACAAAATTGCAATACTCTGCGAATTAGGCAAGATTATTTGTATAAAAGTTTTTGTAGTAACATTCGAAATGCTTAAGGTTCATTTTTCAAGTTTTTAAATGTAGAAATCTTTTCTGCTTACATGACTTTACGTTACTAAAATTACCACTGAAAAAAGTTTTGTTAATATTGTTATTGAACGAATTTTTAATGGGAAGAAAACATGCATTTTATGTCGAATATATAAGAAAATTTAAAATCCAGCTTTTTTTTAGAAGATTTCAATATCTAATCTGTAATATTTTACATTCGTGAAATTCTCAAATAGTACGAGCAAGTATTACATACATGTTGATTGGAATGTTTGGTTTTTACTTTTGCTCTTTACAGCGTGATGCTGTCTAATGTTCATCATACATATTTGCATAGCATTGATTTTTTATTTGAAAAATCCTAAGAGTTTCGTAATCATTTGGAAAAGAATTTTTCGTTTTTGTTCATTGCCAACTAGAAATATTTGTGTATAATTAGGCGGTGATATTTACAACAGATTCTCCTACAACAAATGCGTGAGTATTTTTTTGGATCTGATGGAATATACTATCTACATACAAATATATACTCTACATACATGCATACAAACGTATTTACGCTAGTCGTATTCCATGATTTATGAGCAGCGCTCGCCAATAGTAGGTACTTTTGCCGCTTTTTTCGGAACCTCTCAAGGAAATATGTACATACATATGTACATATGTATGTATTTTAGAATGGCAAATGTACGTAAGTATGTATGCTTTATAAACTACGTAGGTATATAGTTTCTAGTTAATTACGTGCGAAAGAATAAATGTATGCTGCCACAAATCGTTTTTTTATTTTTTATATTTTTTTTTGATCTGAAAACTTTGTAAGAGGAGAACATAAAAATCGCCAAAGCAAAAACATTTGTAGCTTCCAGATGAGATAATGACTCAGCTTTGTTATGTTTTTAGGAGTCAATGGAAAAAGAAAGAACCATTTAGAAAAATTCAAACTTTTCTATCTAAATAATTGGTAGTTTCAGGGCAATATCCATCAAATTTAATTTGACTTACTTATTCAAATACTACGCCCATACACCCGCGTTCAACTAATTAGCAACGAAATTCAAAATGATATTGTTAGCAAATTATGTTTATTTTTTTTTATTTTTAATCGTTTTCATTTAAAATATAATTCAATCTGTAACAGAAACAGCAATAATAAAAGTTTCAAAACTTGCAGAAATTGCAAAGAAAAATTTATCAAACTTCAAAAAATTGTCGATGCAAATTTCCAATTTTTTAATCAAAATATTTAGAAAATTTTCGTTCTGTTCTGTAGCCCATTCAATTGTAGTCCAAGAAAGTGCAAGACTCAAGTCGTTAAAAATTACGGTTGCGCATTTTCTTCCATATAAACACATGGTCAAATTTTTTTTTTATATGAAAACTAAATCCGCGACACCCTCCACAAAAAAAATCTTAAAAAATCAACGGTAATCTTTAACGACTTGAGACTTTCTTAGACTAGAATTGAATGGGCTACAGAACTGCATACCCGAAAATTTTCTAAATATTCTGATTAAAAAATTGGAAATTTGTATGACAATTTTTTAAAGTTTGATTAACTTTTTTTTTGCAATTTTTGCAGGCTTTGAAACTTTTATTATTGTGGTTTCTGTTATAAATTGAATTATATTTTAAATAAAAACTATTAAAAATAAAAAATAAACAAAATTTGCAAACAATATAATTTTGAAATTCGTTGTCAATTAGAAGAACGCCGATAAATTACCATTTAAAAGTTTCAATTATTGATAAAGTCTTTGCTGATTTTAAATTTGAGTGGATATAAAGTAGAAATGAAACAAACACTGGATACGCATTTGATTTGAAACCACCACCACGGTTGAAGTGGCAAAAGGTTTCGAAAGCTCGTAACACTAATCGTTGTGTTTGTAGCCTGTGACCCCGAACAATTGAGTAAACATTGAAATAAATGTTTTTCTGGTTTCACTTCATGAGTGATGTCCATAAATACTATTCATTAATTCAGCTAATATGGGCTTAATGATTGGATGTAAGCCGAAGAAGAGCCGTAAAATTAACGCTACAAGCATGAAGGTAAATTATCTACGATGGTAAATCCCAACGCGAATCATGATTAATAGAAGTCCGCGCGCCGCTTTGTTGAGAAAGCCAAAATCGCTTGGGATGTTGCAAGTTGTGTAACAGAGAAGTGATTAACCAATTCGTTTGCAAAAAAAAATAAAAATAAATAAGTAACAAAACATGCATATGTACGTACATGAATAGGTATGTATGTGCTTGTTTAAACTAAAAAAAAAAA